ATGAGGTCCACCATAGCCATGGCAACCCTTCCTCTTCCTCTACATACAGGCCGAGGCTATGGTGGTCTACTGAGGCTTCAGCCTCCTGTCCAAAGGACCACTCAAAGCAGCTATGCCGCTGCCCCACTTCAAGGTCATCACCATGCAGCTATGCCGCTGCCCACTCAGCCACCATGCCTGACTCTGTCCCGAGCTTCCTTGATGCGTCACTACCCCCACTGGGGCCTTCCTGATGCAGCGCCTAGCAAGAAGATGAAGATGGTGTCTACCATGGCCAGTAAGTACCTCGCCACTCTCCCCCTTGGTCCCCTTCTCCCTCCTCCTACCGGTAGAGCTCCACCATAGCCAAGGTGGAAGCTCCCGGCTTCTTCCTCCCAGCAGCGCTGTAGTGCCCAGCGCTCCACCTAGCGCTCCAGCAGCGTGACGCCCAACCCTCACACTGAAGAATGAGGCTGGGCTCTCCGCCGTGCCTCTTGATATAGCGGCCTACTGGTCTCCTGGGCGGTGACTTCCAGGCCGCTCGGCCTCTCCAAGCAACCGGTACTTCCTCTGTTTCGGAGGGAAACATCATTGCAGATCCTGTTATTACCCGTACAGGCTCTAGACTCAGACTGGTTGGACTGGTACCGGCCTAGACCTACCCTACCGCTACTGGACTCTAAAAATGCCAACTTTGTCTTTTTCTGCTCGGCCTCCAGTACCCCCTCACGCCAACTGCAGTGGGGTGCAGTATCGGCCTACCGGCCTACTTGAGTGTTTTTCCGCTACCCCAAGGGCCACGGGGCTGCTAGCTTCCCCACTTGAGTGTTTTTCCCTGCTACAACCCTCAATGCCACGGCCACAGGTAAGTACCGGCCCTACGGGCCTGCCAAACAAGCAAGTACCCTTGCGGGTCACACACACACTCATACCGACAAGCACTCAGACAGGCACGCAGGTCACAAGCACGCACACACAGACAGACTTAGAAAACACAGCAGAATGTGGGAATCTCAGCAAGGCATCCATTCCATCGGCAGAACTTCAGAAATCAGCAGTGTTCTCAGTCTGTGTTTTGACGGGTCATTACACTACCCCCCCCCTCAAGAGCGAGGTCCCTTCGAGCGAGTAACTCAATYAGAGTCCTTGCACAATGCATCSTAGGCGTAGATARCAWAGAGAGATYGGGTGTGTTCCGTAGGAGTCAGGGTAGCARTGAATTTTGGTTGCTGTTCAGAACTTATCAATCGTTCATAGGCGTTAACGACGCGCGRTGCACTCTGCAGTAAGTCTTTCTTAGCGATCCAGTAGAAATCATCCAACGGATGGTACAGAAAATGGACTTCGTACTGTCTGTTTCTCCCCTTCCCACTGTGCTCGACAATCCTATCAACCTCATGACCGCCATTGATTGCGCGGGGAATCATCGATTCTCGATACTTGAAAGTCTTGGGTGATTCATACGGAAACAACTTCGATGCGTGAAAGATTGGATATGTGCGTAGATGAGCAGGCATATTGATCGTATACGAAGGGCCAAAGGAAGCACCCCCTACCTGGTTCAACACCTTCCATGGACCGTAATATTGAGGAAGAAGCTTTCGTGATACACCTTCTTCTTCAGAAAACTCAGACATTTTGACCCAGACATAACTTCCCACTGCGAATGGTGCAGGCTGGCGCTTTTTGTTAGCATGTTTAATCATGGCAATGCGTCGCCTCTCCATAGCTGCGACAACAACTTTGAGCAGGCGATCAAACTTAGCGTTGTAGCCTGGCTGGCTAGATGTTAGGCCAGGTGGCTGATCAGGGAACARATAAGATAGAGGATTGCGGATTTTCCATCCAAGATGCAGCCGGTTAGGCGTCATCCTGGTGGAGGAGTTGATGGAGTTGTTGTACAACCCCTGCACAATCGGCAACTCCTCATCCCAAGAGTTCTGATCAGGTACAATTAGAGCCCTGAGAAGTTGGATCACGGTCTGGTTGATTTTCTCGGCCAGTCCATTGGCTTCGGGATGTCGACCGGACGTCTTTCTTGAGTTTCATGTCGTAGGTCTAGGAGGTGAAATCTTTCCAATCCGCACTTATGAACCAGGTGTCCCGATCACTCACAAGAGTCTTAGGGGGGCCATAATGTGGAATGTATCTCTTGTTAAACTCATCGATCACAAGGTYAGTTGGGGCGTGAGGTGGCAAGGGGATCAAATTCAAAAATTTTGAGAAACGATCAGCGATCACCATTACTTGTGAATAACCGTTTCTGCTCTTCTTCCCCATGTCCGTGAAGTCAATGGAAACAGACTCTCCCGGGCCATCAGGGATAGGAAGAGGGTGCAGCAGCCCATAGGGCTTCTGCGGAGGCGGTTTGATGCGCTGACAGACTTCACACTCAGCCACAAACCTTTGTGCCATTCTTTTTATTCCAGGCCACACAAACTTTTCCAACAGATTTCCGTACGTCTTCTCAACTCCGAAGTGTCCACTCCGGTCGTGAGCCAAATCCAAGAAGTGAGTCATGATCGGCTCATGGTTGGGCACACACAATCGGTCATGCTTCCCGTAGCGTCGGAAGAGAAGGCCCTTACATTCATGGAAATCAGGCTGACAGCTAGGGTCAGCCCGAATCTGCTCAAGGATGGGACTGAGTTCCGGATCCTTGGCAGTATGGTCAATGAGTTCCTCCTTCAAATTTTTACGGAGATCGTAGGAACCCACAAGGCAAGTCATATATTCGGGGTGGCGAGACAAAGCATCCGCAACACGATTATAGCAGCCTTTCTTGTGTTTGAGTTCAAAATCATACACATCAATCTCATGCAGCCACCTGGTCAATGTGGTTGATGGGTTAACCTGTGTCTGAATTCATTTCAAAGTCTCATGATCTGAGAACACTTTGAAATGGCGACCCAAGAGGTAGTGTTTCCAGTGGTCTAGTGTCTCTCTCAAGGCATAGAGCTCTCTCATGTAGGTGGAAGCGGCTACCTTGTGATTGGGCATGCATTTGCTATTATATTCAAGCGGACGTAAGCCATCACCATCGTCTTGCTGCAGCACCGCACCAATCCCATACAAACTCGCATCCGTAGTTACTACGAATGTAAGCTTGGGATCTGCGATGCGGAGCACTTTATGACTCACCAAAGCCTCTTTCGGTGCTTCAAACGCTGTCGTGCACTCTTCATTCCATGCGTAGGACACATTCTTGCTTGTTAGTCTAGACAGCGGACGAGCGATGATAAAGAATTTTGGCACAAACTTACGGTAGTATGACGCAAGACCAAGAAAAGAACGTAGCTTGCGGACATTCGCAGGTTGGGGCCATTTTGGATGACCTCAACTTTGGTTGCCTCGGGCTCTAGGCCTGCAGCAGACAACCGATGTCCAAGGTAGATGACGCTATCCCTCCCAAACTCATATTTCTCCAAGTTRAGATGGAGTTGCGCGTCCTTGAGGATCTGCATCACTTCCTCAAGGTGTCTCATGTGCTYTTCCATCGATTTGCGAAAGATTAGTATGTCATCCAGATATACAACAACAAATYGGTTGATCTGATTGCGAAATACCTTATSCATGAGACTTTGAAAGGTGGCTGGTGCATTCGTGAGACCRWRGGGCATGACTRTGAWYTCGTACAGCCCATCGCGAGTTTTGAATGCAGTTKTGTGCTGGTCTGYAGGTTSGACTTCAATCTGGTGGTAGCCAGACTTGAKATCGATYTTGSTGAAGACTTTGCACCCACCTGCAGCGTCGAGCAGATCATYGATACGTGGTAAAGGATATRCATTCYTTCTTRTGATTCTATTCAATCCGTGGTAGTCAATACACATCCGCAGTTTGCCTCCCTTCTTAGGGACAAACAGCACCGGTGCACCGAATTCAGACTCACTGGGCTTGATCCATCCCTTCCCAATCATCTCATCAATCTGTCGTCGCAACTCCTCCAATTCGCCTGAGCCCATTCGATARACACAACCCTTTGGAGGGGTACTTCCTTCGATCAACTCGATCTYGTGTCTGAMCGGTCGCACGGGAACTCCATGCGGTTCAGTCAGGACCTCAAGGAATTGGTTGAGAAGGTTGCGAATTTCCGGTGGGATTTTCAGAGGGGGATCATCACTCTCAGGAGCAAGCATATCAGTTTRCATAGGCGMAGCCAGRACAACAGATTTTGCATCAGAGTCATTTGGACTAGAGATGGATTTAGTAGAGGTAGAAGTAGTTGCATCCGAGGTGGAAACAACATGCAAAGTAGAATCATTATGTACAACAAAAATAGAAGGCACATGAGCAGGCCTAACAAAGGCTATATACATTTGCTCATCAGTTTTGCGCTGTGCCACTTTTTGCAGAATTGCATTGCATTGAGAAAGATCACTTGGGACTCGCGCGGCTCATCCAAGAGGATTGGACCCTCGATTCCCATGGCATCTTTGACCATGAACTATGAGTCCTTCCACGTGGTTCTTTCACATTGAGCCTGCAACCAGCCCAAGCCAATAACCGCATCGAAGGGGCACTGATCAAGGACATAGAAGTTCAACTCATGCCTGATCCTGCGGTCAGCGTCAAAGGTAGTGCGCACACCTTTGACTACATGCGTAGATGTGACAACCTCTTGGTTGCCTACTTGGGTCCGACAAGGGTTCTGCAAAGTCACTTGCTTCATCCCCAAGCGTGCCTTACGAATGTCGTGCGGTGAGAAGTAGTTGGCGGTTGCACCACAATCAGCCAACGCACGGATGTAACGGCCATTAATGTAGAGTTTGAAGAAGATCAACTTCGTTCTCCCTTGCGCGCATTCTTGCTTCATATGATCCGAACGCGTCAACAGAGTGTGGAAGTCAATTTCTTCTGACTCTACCCAAGGCTCCTTATATAGGATGTGTATCTTTTCAGCCTTGGAATCAGCATCAGATGGGGTTTCAGGAGAGGTTTGCTGATTGGGATCAGAATCCAATGAAGGATCTGTACTTACTTGTTCCGCCTCTCCATCTGTAGAGCGTGCTGATGATGCCTCTACCCCCGTTGCTGGTTTCCCTGCTGCAATCTGAAACATTGTTGGACTGAATGTCCCGGTTTGGTGCAATGCAGGCAAACCCCTTTCTACACCCTATGTTTCCACTCACTTTCACTGATCCGGAGATCTACCCATGGTTTTGTGGCAGGATCTTCCGGTTTGGGTGRAATCTTTGCTCCCTKGGGAAGAAGGGTAGTGTTAGTGTTGTTCTTCATCGTGGTCCTCGGTCCCTTACTTTTAAAGGCAGTGTTTTTGAAGGCATTCATAGATTCGTCGTCGTTCACATACTCAGACTCATGGGCTGACAAAGAGCAAGATGCCCCGCAGTCTTGCTCTTGATCGTCATYAAGAGAAGATTCRTCCACGAGGGTCTCCTCGTCAGCCTCAAGCAGATCGTGTGCTGCAAAGCRGTTGCTGCCTGGAAACCGTTTGCGGYCGGTGGCCTTTTTGCCACTTGATCCACCCGGGAGGTCTTGTGCCTYCAGCTTGACTAAGTCCYGCATGAGSGTAAGCCAATTTGTATATCCACTGAGCCCGAGCCCTAGGCGATCTTTTAGAGTAGAGGGGACCGTACATTTTATCACATCCAAGCAAKACTGAGCAGTCATCTCTAGATCCGGAGTAGCAAAGAGTTTACTAACATACTGCTGCWGGCTGTGCATGGTGCCAGTCCACTTGTTGTGCTTGAGCTTGTCAAGCTTGAGTCTTGCTTTAGCTGCAGCATGTGGATCAGCATATTGTTTGATCAAGAGGTCCTCAAGTGTGGTGGTAGGCGTAGCCTTCAGCCATTTGTTCAGGTGTATTCTCTTATAGCCTGATTGGACAGCTTGGGTTTGCATAAAACCCCTCACGACGGGCTCCACATTAGTCCCAAKGATAGACGACTGGGTTGACGGGGGTGTCCCCAACACATCAAAGTAGGATCGCATGGAGCTGATCCAAGACTCGATGTTGTCCTTTCCGTCATACTTGGACGGAATCTGCGCCRCCTTCCTATCGATGTAAGCAAAGTTGCCGCTTGGCCCAGCCATTGCTGGGTCCTGACTCGGGACTGCAACAGTTCCAGAATTCCCTGCACTACCATGTGCCGCTGCAGCAGCAGCAGCAGCAGCTGCGGGGTCTGGACTTGCTGCAGCTCCGCTTTGGCTGTTAACCACACTCAAAGAAGAAGAAGAGGTAGAAGGAGAAAAAGTAGACATAGTAAGAGGGGCAAAACTCGACTGACACGCAGCATTGGAAGCAGGGTAGGTGAGTGGAGAGGCAACCTGAGCCTGCTGCGAACTAGCAAATTGTTGCAGCTGGTCACGGTGCTGCTGCGCCATTTTGGCCATGTCTTCGCGCAACTCCTTGAGCTGCTTAAACACCTGTGCGAATTGGCCAGTATGGTCCTCAGCCATCCGGACCTCTACCAAGGCTCTGAGGAGGGTAATCGTTTTCTCTTCTACGTCCTCATCAGTCAGAGCGGACACGGTGCTAAAGACGGCCTCATGAGCCTGCACCTTATCCCTTTTCTCTCTCTCTTTCTCTTCCTCCTCCCTCTTCAAAGCTTTCTCGTAGAAGAACTGATACTGCGGTTTTTCTGCCTCAAGGGCAGCGTCCATCTGCAGTTTCCAGTCTGCTGCAGACGCCATGATGGAGGACGAGGGAGTCAATAAGTCTCTCAAGAGGGGTCCGTACTTCCTCACTTGTCTGGGATGAACACTCCTCTTCCCTTTCCTCACTCCCTCAAGAGTAACACTCAGAAGCTTCTCTCTTCTCTCTCTCTTTCTCGTTTGTGATCGTGTAGACGCAGGCATTAAAGAACCCAATGGAAGAATCAGCTTGAAATCAGTCAGAAGAGGAAGGTAGAACTCCTAGTCGGAGCGGCAATTCATTTGGACTGGAGAGCAATCATCAAAACAAAAAAAAGAAGATTAGAGAGATCTCATCCAGCCACACAGTCTGGACTGACTACGTATGGGGTCCTCCCAAGCCTAGCCAGCCTCAGCTCCGTGAAAACACAGCAAATCAGATTCAAGATGTACAGYGAAATGCAAGAGAGAATTGAGTGGTGTCCAAGGTGCGAGTCAAGCGGCGGATC